TTATCGCCTTTCGCTGCTTCCTCGCGAGGAGCATCCTATACATGATTGCGTTCTCTCTCCTCTTGCTCGGAACACCGCCGCCTTCCGTCGTGAATCGCGCTTCGCACGATCCACTCTCTGAACTCATCCTTCATTCTGCGAATCCTTTCATCATCGTGAGTCGACAGCGAAAGACGCTTACTCAAACTCAATCGGGATTTATTGATCCAATTCAACGAACCATGAAAAGAATTGATACTATTCGACGATGAACAACGTGACCGCCATGGTATCTGCTTCACCGGTTGCCCACCTAAGGATGAGTTGGAATCGTTGAGGTTTCCTGCACGCAAAATCGAATACCGTCTCCTGACTTGACCTTTGATGACCTTCAAGGACGAGAAAACGTACCCGGAGGAAGAGGAACTACTCCAGCACCCTTCTTCCTCTTGCACCTCTTGCACTTCTTCTTCTTCTTCCCACCGCCGCTGCTGCTGCTCGAGCCAAAGCCGCTGCTGCTACTCGAACCGCTGCCGCTGCTGCTACTCGAACCGCTGCCGCTGCTGCTGCCCCATCTGAGAGGACCGCCCAGTTCGGAGCGCACCAAATTGAAAGTAATATTTGAACGCTTGAACTGATCGAATTACCAGTTTTCTTTAAAGTTCGCATCATCACATTTATGTTCCATCTCATAGATCACACATTAATCAAAGATGTCCTTATCTGAATGTTCCTTGCTTCGCTAAGGCATCATTTTGGCAACATCGCCGGACTCCAATCCTATTTGTTGGTGTCTGGAACTCCCTACAAAGTATGGTGCATGCGCAAAACGACCTCCTTTCGCCTCCATTCGTGAACTTTGCCGAAATGTTTCAGCGTGGCCACTCGTGTCCCTGCGCGAGGTCGGGAGACCTAATCAACACCGAGAAAGGCGAGGCGCTTCAGCAATTGGGCGGAGGGTGGACGGTTCCGAAACTTCTTTTGGTCGACATGGTCTCCTCTTCACCTCAAAGTTTTTTTCATGGTACCTGAAGGAAAGTTTTTGAATAATTTTTCGCACAAACTATGGCGATGAAAATTTCAATACTCGGAACGAATATGCACAAGCGATGGTATCAAGGTATGACAAATACTTAATGGTGAAAATCGATTTCTGATAATTTCATGATGAGAAATCATTTTCAAAAAAATGAGGAGAAATAAAAAATTCCATTCAAAAAACCCAGACAGGAACGTCCAGAGAGATCAGTTAGTTGACAGATGGATTTTCAGCTATGGTAAATTCTGAAGGAAATTTGATGAAAATATTTTTAAGTGTGCGTCTTCCTTCACCTGGAAAGAAACATGTAACATGGATGCATGTAACAATAACGATAATTAATTTTAGGAAACGATAGTAATCATAAATGTAAAGTTAATTGGAATATCTGAAAATTATTCGCAATCTAATTTATAGACTAAATGCAGATTGAAACATCGGGGATGACCTCTCAGTGATGGCAACTCAAGTTGAAATGATTCTTACCTCCACGGGATACCAATTATCCATCATTATTATTATGATAAATATTATTATCACAAATACTATTATCATAAATATTATTATCATATTATTATTATAAATATTATTATATTATGACGGTATGGGTCATACAACAGGGTCAGTCAACACTGTGGACTTGATGACAAAGGCGTTGATGATCCCATAGAGAGGACACAAAAGTGACGTCCAAGGCAAATCATCTCAACGGACACTGTTCCATTGAGTGTCGCATGGGGTAGGGTTGTTAAAAATTTGTTCAGATGCTATGCAAAGATGCCAATGCCTTTCGCTGCTTCCTCGTGAAGAGCATCCCCTACGTGATATTGTTATCTACTCTTGCTCGGATCACCGCCGCCTTCCGTTGTGAATCGCGCTCCGCACGATTCACCTTGTTAACGCATCCCTCGTTCTTCGAATTCTTTCATCGTCATTACCGTCGTCTTCGAGGCCGACAGAGAAAGACGCTTACTCAAACTCAATCGGGATTTATTGATCCAATTCAACGAACAATACAGAGAATTGTTACTATTCGACGATGAAAAACGCTGCTGTCTTGTTCTCTGCTTCATCGCTTGCCCCACCTAAGGATGAATTGGATTCGTTGAGGTTTCCTGCACGCAACATCGAACACGATCTTCTGACTTGACCTTTGATGACCTTCAAGGACGCGAAAACGTACCCGGAGGAGGAGGAACTACTCCAGCCCCCCTTCTTCTTGCACTTCTTGCACTTCTTGCACTTCTTCTTCTTCTTCTTGCACTTCTTCTTCTTCTTCTTCTTCTTCTTCCCGCCGCCGCTGCTGCTGCTTGAGCCGCCGCCGCTGCTGCTACTCGAGCCGCCGCCGCTGCTGCTGCCCCATCTGGAAGGACCGCCCGGTTCGGAGGACGTCAAAATGAAATTAATGTTTGAACGCTTGAACTGATCGAATTATCAGTTACCTTAATAGTTCCCATCATGACATTTAATCGAATTATTATACGAAAATATTTGAATCATTATGAGATTCTTAAATAAATAATAGCAAGAAATTATTTGAAGTCGAAGAGGGGAATTTCCTTGGGAAATATGGGAGTGTCGGACCGAGATACTTTCGGGAGTCGACCGTAAGAAATCCCTGGAGAAAGAGTTTATCGACGGAGTTTCCCCTGATGTACTCGAAATCGAGGCGCGTCAACGAACCTATTGCTGTAATTATTGTTTTTCCCTAACTTTTCGAAGTCATTCACAGGAAAGTTGCTTAAGTTATTTCCTCAACCGAGCCTATCGTTCACAGCGCCCGAATTCCATCACCACTCCACCAATTCCATTTCCATCAGAAAGATGTAATATAAAATATGGTGCATACGGAGCGGGAAGAGGAAGAGCCTTGGGTTCGGCCACGGCCCTCGGATCGGCCAACGCATCGGGTGCGGCCTCCCCCTTGGTCGAGCACGGCCCCAGGACGCACAGCAGCACCCCGACGATCACCCCGAGGGACACCAACTGCAGAAGGAACGAGATTTAGACATCCGCGGCCCACCGAGATCGAGCGGGGCTCACCTTGAATGTTCCAGAAGCCATGGCGATTCCGGCGTGACTGCATCCTCCTCCCTCCACCTCCTGCTTTATATACCATTCTACTGACCATCGCAGCGATCGAAGGAATCTCGGGATTTCTCAAGGGGGGATGGGGAGGACTTTCACTCGGTCGCAGAACGGCGCTTCAGACTCGTTACTCCGTTCTGCCCTCGATGATTATAGGGCGATCACGTGCTACCCCCCCCCCCGGTTCGTCCACGGCTCGTTGGCCGTTTCCTGTGTGCTGGCACGTGAGACGCGTGTGGAAGATAATCACGAGATGGATCGGGGCGAGTAACGATGGAATCGATTCCCTGGTACTTCTAATATATGTAATTCACGAATATCATTTATTTTGGATTTAGTGGAGCTCGTCACCGTCATAACCTCCATTATATTATATATTATCATAATAATAATTATTATATTCATTTATAGGAAAGCAAGGATAGGATGAACCCGAGTTAAAAAACTGCCTCGAAGGTCTCGAAGCGCAAAGCCATTTCCCGCCGATTTATGCTTGTAAAAGAAGAAGAGAGCAGCGCGAATCGAAACAAAAAAACGGTTCGCGATCACGTTCGCGATCGCGAACCGCGATCGGCATGGTACGAGCGATTTCCGGAGTGGAATCCTTGAGATCGGCGATCCGAGGCGATTGCATTATTCCATATTCCGTGGAGAGAAAAATCGGCGGAGGAAAAAAAGGGCAAAACTGGAAATATAATGGCGTGAAAGGGAAAGTGACTTCGAACGTAGATTTCAGTTTTCGCATCATTTCATATATTTTTCTGCACATTTCTTTCCTGCGTATTCGCGGGATTTTCCCATTCGGTGGAACGTGCTCTCGTTCCCCGAGGAGCGCGTACTTCGGTTTGTTTCTCGCCGCAGTGTTGCCGGATCGGTCGCGGCGAAGTTCGATGATAGAACGCGACTCTGCAAAAATGGAGGAAAATTTGTTGTTTATTTTTGCAGATTATTTTGCCAATATCTTCGGTTGATGAAAGATTCATATTTCATTTTTGTCCTATTATGTAATTACATATTATTGCTTCCGATGAACTTACATATTCATACCACGTCGAAGTCCAGAATTTTCAATACAAAAAAAAATGGCACGATCTCGGCCAGACACGGCCAAAACAATTTTCACAACGACGTTTCCGCACCGTCCTGGTTTCTTTCCGGCGCCTCGCGCGGGATCCCCGATCGCGCCGGCCGACAATCGCCTCGACTCCATCGTTGGAGTCGAGCCATGCGTTTTGCCATCATCGCGTTCGATTTCGCGAAGATCGAAGGGGGGAGGGGGAACTAGTCGATTCCGTCTTCCTTTACCAGAGTTTCGTCGGGTTTCAATCATTTGCACATCTGGAAGACGCGGGGAAGAAATGAAGCACACCGATCACCCCGTCTCCTTGCAGGAAGTCAGGAGAAATTCCTGTCTCTTTCCATAGTCGTTGTGGTGCGGTGAGAGGCTTACCTCTCACGCGTGGGACTTTCGTGCTTGCCGTTTCTGATTCTATTTTCCAACCTGCTAGGAACTGCATGGTTCCGATAACAATTACCTCGACAGGGTACATGTTCGAGTGTGAATCGTCGGATGACTTGGACAACGAAGGACAGATTTTTGGGGTATTTAAAATCGTGTCTGTCAGCCAGAAACAAGTTTCAGAGAATTCTGTGAGAAGAAACTCTGAAACGAAAATGTAACTCGTTACATGCAACCCATTCTCGGTACTTCGTTGCTGCGCACTCTCGCAAACAGCCTATAAGCATCACGTTGGTATGAAGTCGAAGCAATGCTACAATCATCGAGTCCGAGGCGATGCGTGCAAGGGCAAGTTACCACTAGGGGGAAACCAACAGGTCATTTATTATGAAAGCTTCAACATGTAAAAATACTTTGAGAAGGACACGAAAAACATCAATCCTTCCGCCTCCTCTTTACCGTGTCATCCGGCGCTGGAGCGTCAAACACCGTTCCGATGTAGACGTCGGTCCGTCTCTTCGGCTGGCGCCTTCGAGTCCTGGAGATCTTTTCCCCGTGATAGCCGAATCCGGTCTTGTCCTTGGGGTGCTTGCCGTCGCTGCCCAGCGCATCCGACATCCCTTCTCCGCCGGGACCGAGCCCCTGCCCGTCCCTCCATCCCTGGGCCTCCATCAACCTCCGCCCGATCCCCCTCGTGTGCCTCTCGAACGCCCCGATCCGTCCCACCATGGAGGCGCTCTCCCGGTCCCATTCCCAGTGGATCTGGGCGAGGTCCCGCGCGTCTTTGTCCCCGCCCAGGGGGGTCTCGTAGACTCCCATGTCCACGTCCAGGTCGTCGGCCGTCCTCTCGTCGAAGTCGCCCTCCTGGTCGTCCCAGTAATACGCGTCCGTGTAGAAGACGAGGCCCGAACCCCCCTTCTCCCACACGATCTCCATTCCCTCCTCGAAGAGTCTCTCGTGATCGCGCTCGTATTTCGAAAGATGGGAACCCGGATGAAGGGCCTCTTGACGATCCCATTCTTCCTCGCCCTCGGATTCCGGATCCGATTCCTCGCGATCCGAAGTCTCTCCGTGGTACTTCTCTTTGGAAGGTTCGCTTTTTTCACCACCAGGTACGATCCTTCGCGGGATTTCGTGGCCCGTTCCCGTGAGAACCGTCATCTCCTCGGGACTCGGAGTGACGACCTGTCTCCCATAATCGAACGGCACCTTCCCGTACTTCCTCGGCTTCCGCTTGGGGAACTGCAGCGCCAGCGACCGGATCATCCTCGCTGGGAGCTGGCATCGTCGGATCAACTCCCGAAACACTTTGGTCGGTGTCCCCACGTTGCCCCGGGGCATGCCGACGGGCGGTCGCAGTTCCGACAGTTGCATCAGGTCCTTGAGGGGCACCGAGTGGTCCTCGACCGTCTCGCTCTCCGAGACCTTCAAAGCGATCAGGACGCACTTCTGCGGGAGCGGCTTGCCCTCCCCGTCCATCCAATGCCGCCTGTCGTACATGGCCAGCACCGCTCCGTGGTCCCTCTCCAGGACCTTCACGACGCAGCATACCGTCTCGGACCCCTTCCCTCCCGGAAGGACTTCCGGTCTGTGGCGGAAGTGGAAGCAGAGGAACTTCCCGTCTTCGACGGCTTCGAAAAAGTAGTTTCGAAGGTCTTTGGAATGGAACTCCTTCGGGATGTTACGAATGAGCACATATCTGCACGACTCCTGGGTTTCCTCCATGTGCATGAACTGGGAAGAAATCTGCAACGACAATTAATGAGGATAAAAAACATCCCATTTCATAGCAATAAAAGCAGGACACAGTTTAGACGCGTAGATTCCGAGTCTTGAAAACTAGGCAAAAAATTGAATTTTTTGCGTAATGTAAATTTTTTTCACTTCGGCATAAATGGCAAGAAGGCACGAACGTCGACTGAGCGTATTTTACAGGAAGCCAAAAAAGTTTTCATTCTCGTAATCTGCAACAGAAATTGACCTGCCAGGGACATGATGTCCTTGCAGAGATGTCACAGGCACCTCTGGGTCATGCAGGCAACAGCAAAAAAGGATCTGGCCGATTCTGTGCGCCGCTGCATGAGGCATTCGGAACGAGCCACGAATGAAAACAAGGATTGAGAGGGCAGATGGGGCTGGATCGAAGAGTAAAGATAAACTGCTACTTGGTGCTGATTTCTTGAAAATTTTCACCTGCCTAATATGAGGTAAGAAATCTTCAGCCCATTATGCATAATGGCCTTACTTTGAAAACTCATTCTTGCACTTTCCTCTTTTTCTTTGCCAGAGACTTCCTCAAAGAGAAGAATATTCTTACTCTGCCTTAATTGCGTAATGTAATGGCATGCGATTCTTCAAACTGTCTCATAAATGCTAGTTCACTTCATTCTGCGGTCTCATTGAGGCTGATCTGAGGTCTCCCTGTCTTATTCTTCTTGCATTTAATCTCTTTTGCAATCGTCTCAATAAGCATCGATCTCAGTAGTCAGTCCAAAGAATCACTACGGCTTTACCTGACCGTGTTTTCTAATTATCAGGAGTTCCTTGTAAGGTATTCATGTAACAGAAAGTACACCCATGCAAATGTTAATAAATAATTTCCTGAGGTCGGCAGAAAGTGTTTTGCAAACTCAGAATCCAAAGATCACGTGACTTACATTTGGAGAGGAAATCAATCCCATAGCACTACAACATGGAGAAGGCAATCAGTGGTTGTCATATAGTCTTAAAAAATTTCAAGATGTTGGCGAAGCTAATTTGCTTGTGAGTTGCTTGAAAATTGCTTCACACTGCATCTATTACATACAGTGCCACCTTTTGCAAGTGCACATTAGTGAGTGTATCAGCATTTCACGAGCGACGTATACCTTCAAAGGAGCTTTTTATATGAACCTTCAGAAAGAAAGCAGAGGTTACTAGCATTAAAATGTAAAATATGCATTGAGTAGGTCAATGCATGCAGTGGGAAACATTTCCAGCTTAAGTTTGGAATAATATAGAGGGACTGAAATGTGATTGTACAGTCTGTGATTTGATATGAAACAATGATGGATTGACAAAATCTCTGACTAAAATTAACATGCTCTACAGAAGTGTTTAGTATGGCATATGAACAATGAAGTGCTGAAACGTGACTCTGGTACAAGATTCATCGTGTGACTTTAAGTAAGATCACATAATAGCATTAGAATGGTTTACATGAGATTGCATGCATCAATTTTTTTTTATCTGCCATCAACTTCAAGAAATTCTCAAATTTTGAATCATGACCTTCATGCATTCAATTCATTCATGCATATATTATTTGAACTCAACCCAGCCCCTTAAACCAATTTTCTCCTTGAGGAGAAGTGGTCTCTCACTAGGCAAAGTTAGGGATGTAATTAGGGTAGAAGTGAGAACAAGGCAAATAAAGGGTAAAAATAGGGTGCGCTGTGTGGGACTTCGATAAATGTGGGAACGAGGACAACTCCAACCAATAGGGCACAGAATCAAAACCCTCGTTCCAGTGGCCATGCGTGCTTCCTGATCATCTTTAACTCACTAAGTCCTATATGCCTCAATTGAAAAACAGGCTCAGGTACTTGTAGACTCCATACCGAGAACGAACGGCAGATCTGCGGAAAGGTTTTCGCACGACCAAAGGGAATCGGATATGTTAAGAAACCAAGAGTGCAAATTTCACATTCTTCTTGGTATACACATTCTTCTGGTAATGATACACCAGCAAGATTATATATTTTTTACCAGGCAGTACAAATTAAATGTTGATATGGTAGCAAAGCTGTGCTAAAATGCCAATTGTATAATATAAATGAATGGAAGAGAGGCTGGGCAGACAAATGTCAATAAAGGAAGGTTCAAAGAAGTCAGAATATGAAAATAAGAACAGAGACATTGAAAATAAATGAATCAGCCATATGGGCATAAGTAAAATGTAAATAAATAATTTGACATCCCATGAGTCCCAATTTGATCAGTATGATAATTTCCTTCTGTACCATTTCCTATTTGAAGACTTACATTAGCTATTATTTACAGCACCACCAGTGTGAAGGTCAAGGAAACAAGGTTATTCCCATGCTGGTTCCATTTTTCCAAAATTTTTAGTTAGGATCCAATAATAAAATTGGATCCTCACTAAAATTTTTAAATCAACATCCATCATGAAAATCTCCTTGATGACATGTAAGCAACATAAATATTGGATTGAGAATGGTAATGAGGTTAATGCCAAAACAGAACTTTTACAAGACATTTTCCATTAGGGCAAGCATTGCCACTAAAAAATGAGGGTTGAGGAGGGCAGAGCAGAAAAACCATCACGAACTTCCTTTCCTTGCATTACCTTAATCCTCCCTCTATAACTCCCAACACTACCCCATTTACCTTTTCCTTGGTTTATGCTCAAAGAAACAAGAGCTAAGTGAGGAGTGTAAAATATTCCCTCTTAACATTACATTACCATTGACCCAGCCCAACCTGCAACAATCATTCCAACTATTATCTTCCTTCAGAATAAACCTGACCTTTATTGCTACTTCTTCTTTCTTTCCAATATCCAGTGAAGTACAGGGAGGTGGTTAAATGGGGAAATATCAATATTTTTTTACTTATAAAAGAGGCCTTTTTTTTTTGCTCCTGTAGATATTGTCCCCAGAAAGGGAATTGGAATCTTCACTCTTCTTTTTCCCCCTGACTTTTGCTCAGCTCCTGCAAGGAAAATGAATAAATTGATCAGTACAAAAGAAGATTGGCAAAAACAGATGAAATCTTCTCACTTAGGCATTAAGCATCATAAACAGCAATATGGAAACAGGCTATGGAAATAAGAGCAGAAAATGGGTGAATCTATCAGGAACTTCCATTCAAGAAACAAAACTTTTGCGGAAAGTAGGATAATACATTCACGTGACATAAATATTGATAAATATTGACATGATATAAATGTTGACATCATACTAGAAAGGGTTAATGGGCATGCTAATAGTCAGCATTAAAGCAAGGTGTAAGCACTGCTCCCACTTGAGTTGAAAATAAAGTTCTTTGGCAAGCTTCAAAGAACAGAAGCTCTCCCCCTGCAGGGTGGGTAGAAAAAGGAAATTATTTTAAGAAACTAATGAAAAAGAGTGACATAGATTCGAGGCACTAATGGAAGGGTCACACATATACTTCCAATAAAATAGGACAAATAAATAAATGACATCTTCACCTCAGTACGATGTTGAGAGAAGTGGCACACAAGTTTGAAGAGAAGTTAAAATCACATTCAGCTTATCACTGTAACCTCAGGGCAAAAAAACGTTCCAATAATATTCAATACTTGGTGGGTGGAGCAAATTCAGTAGGCCTCTCCCCACGTCTTTCCTCCAACCACGTGTTTTCACGTGCGTTCCTCAATGCTGCAGACCTTTCCTCACTTCTCCCATCAAACCATGGATTCTCGCGTGGCTTCCGGACATTTGGGGGCTTTTTCTCGCGCCTATCCTCTGACCAATCTTTCTCTGTCGATTTCCTGAACTGGATGAACGGGTTCTTGTCGGCATCCCATGGCCGGACGGGAGGTTTTTCCTTTATCAGTGGGCTTGGGTCTTTTGCTTCTTCAACATCTAACTCTGGCTCTTCCTTTTCCTCCTTCTCTTCTATCTCTTCCTCTTCGGCATCTTTCTCGTCTCCTTCGGATGCCGATTCCTTGAGGGGGAGTCCGGCACGAAGTCTCTTTTTCTCCCATACCTTCTTGATCCTTTCTTTCATCATCTTCCTCTTCTCTGCTCTCCGCTCAATCTTCTTCTTCTGCTCGACCTGAGTGTCTCTTCGCAACGTCTTCAGGGCCTCCTGTTCGGCAGCACGAGCCTCCTCGTCCGTGGAAAACCCGTAGTACCCCACTCCGTGGCTCCTGATCTCACGGTGAAGAACATTTTGGTAATGGACAGGGCCCATAGGTTCTCCTTCTTCCTGTTTTTCTTCCACTTCTTCAACAGGAAACTCAGGAGGAGGAGGCCTCAGAGGTCTTTTCTTTAGTTCACTTAAGCTCTTTCTCTCAAAGTCCACCAGGTACACATCCTTCAGGTCATTCACGTCTGATGCATTCGTCAACTTTTCGTACAGTTTTGCTTTCTTCTCCAATTGAAGCCTGGATGCTGCTAGCTCCTTCTGATCTTCTTCATCAAATTTTTTCTCAGCACTACCGGTCTCACCGGGTGACGGCTTCGAAGCCGTTGCATAGATTGCTTCCTTTCTCTGCAATTTCTTTGCAGCCAGGCATGTCTGCCATTCTGCAGGACTTTGAGACTTGGCTTCTGCTTTTTTCCTTTCTAGCTCTGCCTTCAATGCCACTATACTTGAGGCCATCTGTCAGATAATGTTGTCTCCATTATTCACAAGCTTATTCAATGCCTAGTACAGGTCTCTCATGAAATGTCAAGTTATTAGGGTGGCATTAACCATCCAGACTAACTAAAAAAACTTATTATTAGATACTTTACCTTACAACAACCTTTCATATCCTATTACAAAGAGGAAACAATGAAGATTGAACTAATTATGAGTCTTGAAACTACATTACAAAAAAAAAACTAAGAAGCCTCCCTTATTATACAAACTCCAACCTCTCAAAACTTACAACCAAACACAAAAAGGAAATTCAACTTCTGGGTGTTTCCTTTATTATCTTAAGGTCGCTGGTTCCACCCAAAGTTTCATATTGAAGGTGATTCTAGAAATATAAAACAAAGAGGATGGCAACCAGCTTGTTCATCCGTAAAGCCTTCTCATATCGAAGCATCCATTCTACCAGAGGATGTAAACTATAAACAACAATCTAGAAGATGATAAACTCATCCTATTCCAGGGGTGCGATTCTAGGTTTCCCAAGCATTGAGGTCCTAGTACTGGTAGCAGGGCTACTGAAATAGTATTGAGGTGTAGAGCAATTGAACATTCGTATGCACATCGTAATTTTCAGAGTAATGGATATTTGCTTCCAGCCTTCATCCAATTCCCCAATTCACAAATATGTAGTCAACCCTCAATGTAATGTCACTGTTAGTCATCAATGATTTTAGCACTAAAATGAGGGTAGCGTTCTATAGACTTATCTATATCCCACATTCTATAGGCCTATGGGGAGACGCATTCATAAGAAAAGGTTGCCGATATGTGAGGGTGGTGTCATATCGAGGGTCAGTACAACAATGGTCAACTGTAAAGAATTCTGCATCCCTCCATGTTTGGTATTTGGCCAAGACAGAGAAGCCAGTGATTCTTGCTCAGAACTTTAGTTACTATTCAGCACCTTATTCTTCTAGCAAATCCACTTCAGAAAAAATACATTCCCTTAACCCTTTCGCTGCCGTTGATGCCATATGGCATATTCTGTGAAATGAACCTCTCACTGCCATGCTAGGCAAGGAGAGGTTGGATTAGCAAAAAGTCCTTGGCAGTGAAAGGGTTAACATGAAGAAGTACACATCCCTAATTTTTTTCACAGAGCGAGAGTCAGAGCGCTGCATCTAACCAGTAACTGCTTCTATTACCCATTCCACTATGGATGGCATGGAAGAAAGTATGATTTTCAGAGACTCATGGTACTAACTATTAGAGATGTCTTCAGAAACATGATGGAACTAAGAAAGCTGGGAGAGGGGCAGTGGGACAAATCACTTCAGGCAGTAACCTCAAGGACTTCTTCATTAATACTAAATCATGCAGTCAACATAAAATTGTTGCTAGGCGCCTTGGCCTGGCCTAGCATAATGAAGTTCCAGGCTTCTTGTTCCCATGCAGATGCCTGGGTTCGTGCTTAGGCTAATTAGTAACGTTGCCTAGGCCTATAGAATGTGGGATATAGATAAGTCTATAGAACGCTACCCTCATTTTAGTGCTAAAATCATTGATGACTAACAGTGACATTACATTGAGGGTTGACTACATATTTGTGAATTGGGGAATTGGATGAAGGCTGGAAGCAAATATCCATTACTCTGAAAATTACGATGTGCATACATTA